TTTGGTTAGCAGCTCAGCATATAAATCACCACTTCACTGGAGCTCTAGGAAGAATGAACTAGAATGAACCACTGATGTTTTCAAGAAGGAACCTCTGCCACTGAGTTAGGATAATCTCCTACAAACCCTGGAGGACAGAGATGTCCAGGTGTCCAGGGATGGCCATTCAGATGGAAGCAGACCGTTCTGTTTTTATCCCTCAGACTGGCTCGTGGATTCAAACCACACAGTCTTTGGTTAGCAGCCAAATGCTTTTATCATCATTGCCTTGCCTGGGCTCCTTTATGAAGGCCGGAACAGAGATAATGGGTATGCACATCTCATCTAGACTCAGGAAGGCAGGAAATGCACTGGGGAGGCAGCGGTTGCTCTGGAGAATGCTGGATCCCCTCTCTGTCTCTTGTAGGTTCTCAGAACCATGACCCTTTCCTTAACTCCCAAAGACCATAGTCTCTGGTTGAGTCAGGATTGAAGTCACACAGTAACATTCCTTAAACGGAAGAGGTTTTCCTTCCAAATCAGTACAGGTCTAAAGAAAAGTTGCATTTCTTGAAACCATTTTCCTATAAAACCCTCGTTGTTGTTGTTATGTGCCGTTGAAAAACCCTTTCTCTTAGAAAAGTGAGAGTTGACATCTGTTTTTAAATCTATTTTGTGTTTAACTCACTTTATCAAGAGCTAAGCAGTGTTTGGCATACTTGATCCTTAGAAAATTAGGTCACGATTTCCCTAGTCCTTGCTGCTGTTGGTGAGTTGGAACGAGCTCATGGCTGACTCTCTGGTAGGTTTTCATACTTTAGTCTTGTTTTGTTGTTGTGTGTGTTGTCAAATCAGATGTGACTGGCACAGGAGGAGATTGCCCCTGCTTCTCCAGCGGAGCATCTGGTGAGTTCGATCCGTGCACCTTTGGGATTGCAGTGCAGCTTCTTGCCAGTCAGAGAGGCAGTAAATTCTGTGGGAGGAGATTGCCCAACTTTCTCCCCCAGAGCAGCTGGTGGATTCAAATCATGTACTTTTCTGTTGGCAGCACAACTCTTTACCAACATGGAGCTAATGGGGATCATGACGCTATGTTCCAAGCTGTTCAAGTAAGGTGAATTGATGCATACGACAGCAAAATACTATGGAATATAAAAAATCCAAACCTTAGTTTGAATATTATTTGAAGATTTTTAGTTATTAATCTCAGCTATCTGCTGCTCTCTGTTCCTTTTTTTAATTTTTTTTTATTTTTGCATGACCTTCTGAAGCATGGTGGTACAGTGTCTAAAGAACTAATAATTGGAAGGCCAGCAATTCGAACCCACCGGCTACGGTGGGAGAGAATGATGAGGCAGTCTGATTCTGTAAGGTATCGCCTTGGAATCTCTGGACGCAGTTCTCCTTGTCCTGTGTACCTGCTGCAGGTCAGAATCAATTTGTTGGCAGTGTGTTTATACTAACTTCTGAGAGCTCTGGTGGCCTAGTGGTAAGAAGCTGCACTGCAATCCTGAAGGCATGCAGTTTGAACCCACCAGCTGCTCTGTGGGAGAAGGACAATCTCCTCTTGTATGATTGTTATTGTTATGAGCCATCAAGTAGCCTGCAATGCAGCGACCCCATGTACAACAGCCCTAAACCCTGCTCTATCCTGTGCCAATTTTATTGTCTCGGATAGACGCCCCCCCTCCCCCCCAATCACTCCAGTCACTAAATCAGTCCATCTCATTGAAGGTCTTCCTCTCCTGCACTGTCCTTCCACCCTCCCAAGCATGACGCCCTTCTCCAAGGACTGGTGCCTCCTTGCAACATGTCCAAAGTCTGTCAGATGGGGCTTCAGAATCCTTGCCTCCAAGGAGCAGCCTGGGTTTGCCTTCTCCAGGATGAACTTGTTTGTTCTCCTAGCAGTCCATGGTATATTCAGTACTCTTCTCCAGCACCACAGCTCAAAGGCATCAACTCTCCTTTTATCATCCCTAGTCATTGTCTAGCTTTCTGATGCATAGCAAGTAATTGCAAAGACCGTGGCCTGGATCAGGCACACCTTAGTCTCCAGATGGATGTAATTGCTCTTGAGTACTTTGGAGAGGTCTCTGACAGCAGACTTCCCCAATGCAATTTGTCTTTTAATTTCCTGGCTGCTGGTACCAAGAGTGTTGTTGATTGTAGAGCCAAGCAAACTAAAACTGTTAACAATCTCAACCTCTTCACCATGTATCATGATGCTGCCAATGGGCCCAGTGGTGAGAATCTTTGTTTTGATCTCTCTCAGACGATTACTGCCTCTGAAAACCTGCTGGAAAGTTAGCTATGAGTTAGTTACAACTCTACAGTACACAGCTACAACAACAACAACAATGCGGCATGTGCCTCCTTTCCCTCTTCCTCCTCCTCTTTGTCTTCTATGTACTTGTTTGTTCCTATCTTGTCCTGCCTCCACTCAAGCCGTTGAGTTTCATTTCTTCTTCTACACTGATGTATCTCATTTATAATAATAACATTTTTCCTGGATGAATTCGGATGTGAAATGACTGCTTCCTATAATCAGCTTAGGCCAGCCCCCTGGAGAGGCCGTCATGTTGGCAAAAGCAGGAAGTTAGGCAAAGAGGAAGACCTTCGAGGAGATGCTTTAACACAGCGGCTACCACATGGGCTCAAACTGAGTAACTTGTGGGGCTGGTACAGGATTTGGTTCTGTGTCCCAGGGTCCCCGTGAGTCGGTGACACCTAATGACAGAAGAACTTTGTTTTTGTATGGAAAGGAGATGGAAGGCTAGACTGTAGAAGCTAACTTTTGACAAAGTTGACGACACAGATGATGTCCCTGACATTTTCTGTGCTCATCCCACTAGCACTTGTCCTTTACACCCATTTCTTCCTGGTTCTTTGCTTGAACTCTACTGTCTAGTTTACAGTAAGTCGGCCAGATTTTGGAACCACCTGAAAACCATTTCTACCTTACATACTTGGTCTTTTTATTCTGAAATGGAACCCTGTGGTTCAATACAGCAGCCAGATTGAAGAGGAGTGGCTTGTTCAATCAAGTATCTTTTAGCAACCTGTATCTACCAAAAACCCCACTAAAACCCCAAAAAAACAAAAACACAAAAATCCAAACACCCAGACAAACCAACACAACTCACTGGTTTAGTTTCTGACTCACAAGGACCCTCTTGAGGCTATAAATGATAACCAGAGGAGGCTGCCCATGGATTTGAACTGACAGAGACATGCAGTCTTGGGTCTCGCAGCCCAGCCAGTTATACTCTTGCTGTTGTGTACTGTCATGTCAGGACCAACCTGTAGCTGACTCTCCAGTGGATTTTCAGAGGCAGTAAATCACACACGAATAGACTGCTCATCTTTTTCCTGCAGAGCTGCTGGCAGATTCAAACTGTGTGCCTTTGGGTTGGCAGCACAATTCCTTACCACTAAGAAAACAAACAAGTCTGTCTTAGAGAGAATGAAACCAAGTTTCCCCTCAGAGGCTAGGATTTTGTAGCTCTGGCTCACATACTTTGGGCATGTTGCCAAGAGTGACACTTAGAATGCAAGGATAGTTGGAGCTCTCTAAGGAAGTCCCGACCTTGAGAAGGACGTCTTGCTTGGAATGGTGGAGGGGCAGTGCAAGAGAGGAAGACCCTGAATGAGATTGATTGACACAGTAACTGGGGCAACGGGGGTAGGTGTGTCAGAGCAGTAAGACTGGCTCAGGATGAGGCAGGCTTCAGAGCTGTTGTACAAAGGATGGCTATGTGACTCGACCGCACATAACAAACAAGCACCTGAGCTAATTCTACAAGATACGTGGAAAATCCCCACCTAGTTCTGCCTCTCTTCCCATCATTTTGTTTGATACAGTTCAGGTCTTGTCTCTCATCCTCTATCTTCACATGCATCTAGATCTTTCCTTTTGCAGACCTCCTCTTCTTCCTTCTTCAGGGTGGATAAGCTTGTAAAGATTCACTGCTAGTTATCTTCTTCTGAAGATGCCTATCTCTTCTCCTCATGTGGGTTCCTTCTTCCTTATTTGCCCTGTCAGCAAGCCTGAGGATATATATACTAAACTTGTTGAAGCACAAGTTGGCCCTACCAATGAGATATCTTGCCTTCAGCTCTGCTTGCCCCTTTCTGTGACTCCCCATTTTCCTATCCTGTGGTTTCCCAGCCTTCCTGCTTCAAGTTGGTGTTTGTGTGTGTATTTTCTGGAGAAATGATTGATGCATTGATTTGGGGCTGTGTTCACTTCTCAGATTGATTACGTTCATCTGTATTCAGATCATGAACTGGCCAGTGAGGAGGGAGAAGGCTTGGCCAACTGTGATGTCTACACATGTTTCAGCTCTCCTGGACACATTTTAAAAATGTTGGGGGTCATTTGCCATCATGAAAAAATGTGGGCTGCTCTTATAAAAGTGCAGATCCTGGCTTCTCTTTGGGCAGTCAAATCCAGGGTACCAGCTCTAGGAGAGGCCAGTTTTCTGCCTGTATGTGGTCGAGGAAAGTCCTTGCTTCCTTCAGCAGGAAGGTCAGGACTTCCTTAGAGAGCTCCAACTATCCTTGCCTTCCAAGTGTCAAGGGGTTTCCTCATTTAGGGGACCCAACTCCAAAGAGACATGCTCTACTCTTGGCAGCTCCTTCTTGGTGGTGTCACAGGCCCCCTCCCCTCCTTCTGCCCCTCTCCCCCTGCCCCTTGTCACTCATAGATAAAAGGTGTAATGAGCCATTCATTCCCTAGAGAAGCCCCTCTCGCATTGGGTTAGGTCTGTGAGGGGGGATGCAGTGGTCTGGCACTCCAACCCTGATCCTTTTACAACTGTTTGGTTCATCAGATCATGTGAGATCATTTCATAGCTTTCATGTGATAACACTACACATCTGGATTTGAGGGACGCACATTCCCTGACATGTGGGTACTGTCCTGTGAAAATGGTACCATCACTGGGTCAAACAACTGAGGAGGACGTCTCTGTTCTCCTCAAGGTGCCCAGGGATTTGACCTTTTCTTCATTCTTTTGCAGGACTCCTCTCCATAAATCAAACTCAGAAGACGGTTCTATAGGTAAGTCCAACTTTTCTAGACTTAATGATGAAAATTATTATTTTCTCTTCACTTTATACAAAGCAAATATTTCAAACTACAGTGTTCACAAAGAATTCTTTCACCCAGAAATAAATGTGGTCAGGATTTCTATGCATAATTTTGCTCTCTCTCTTTCTTATTTTCCTTTTTTTAAAAGTGTAATTGGGATCATACTCACTTGATAATATTTTTTCAATTGCATGTGTCGTAAACATTTTCCCACTTGATTAAATATCCTTAATAGTGTGATTTAAAGGCTATATATTATTCATATTTGATATGCCATAATTTAATGAACCAATTTCCTCTTTTTGAGCTTTAAGTAGACTCTTTTTTTAGATTCTTTTTGGTGGGTTTTTTTTCTTTTCTGTCAAGATGAATGGTGCAGCCATTTAAAAACAAACCAAACCAAACAAACACCACCCCCCCGCCCCGCCCCGAACAAACACCTCCTTCCTTAGGACAGATCTGTAGACTTGAAACTTTTAGATCAAAGATTATACTTAAGTTAATTCTTATATAGAAAGCTATGGTAGTACAGTGGCTTAAACACTCAACTAACCACACATCAGTGGTTTGAACCTGAGGGAGAAAGATCTGTAAAGATTGTTGTTGTTGCTGTAGGTGCCATCAAGTCAAGTCTAATTGATAGACCCTGTGAGTAACAGAGCTGAGCCCTGTTCTATCCACTCCTGTCCTCTTCATCTCTGTACACATGAGCCATTGTTACAGTTACTGTATCAGTCCATCTCACTGAGGATCAGTCTCTCTTTCGCTGACCCTCCACCTTTCCAGGCATGGTGCCCTTTCCCCAGGACTAGCCTCTCCTAGCAGCATGCCCAAAGAATGTGACATGAAGTTTCACCGTCTTTGCCTCCCAGGAGCATTTTAGATGCACTTGGAAATCCTATGGTCTAGTTCTTCTGTATTTTACAGGCTAACTAGAAGTCACAATTTGCTCAACAAAGTGTTGTTTTGAGTTGGTTTTTTTTAAGATGTTACATATTCTTCACATCTCTTTAATTGATTATTGATTTAATAGCCACTTTAATTATATATATATCACAAACAAATAACACACACCCCCCCAAACTCATTGCTGTTAGATTGGAACTGACTCAGCTTAAGTGGGTTTTCAGAGGCTGTAAATTGCATAGGAAAAGATTGCCCATCTTTCTCTCATGGAGATGCTGGTATGTCCAACTGCCAGAGAGGTGTCACCTTTAATTCAGCAGCCCAACTCTCTGTAGACAATGTCCCAGGGCTTCCTTTATATATGCAAGTATGTGTGTGCGTGTGCACACACACATACACATACACACACACACACATGCTCACACACACTCTCAAACTCATTGCCATCAAATGTGAACAGATTCATAGCTGATCCTTCAGCTTTTTGGAGGCTGTAAATAGCACAGGAAGACAGTGCGCCTCCTTCTCCACTAGAGCAGCTCTTGGATTCCAGCCACCTACCTGGGATTGGCAGTGCAGCTTCTTACCCACTGGACTCTCAGATCTTGCGTGCACATGCACACATGCACGTTTATAAATGCACATAAAGTCTTTGCTGTGGTTCATAACATACACAGCAAAATAGACTCCGGTTCAACTATTTCCTCCCTGTATAATTCAGTGACTTTGAGTGCATTCTACGGTTGTATAGTTATTTCTATGTCCCTTTGGAGAAGTTTTCCTCTTTCATTAACATAAACTCATTGCTCCCTGAGGTCCATTCTGGCCTTTACAATTACTGTTGTCCCTTTGATTCCAAATAGATAGTTTTTAAAAGAGCATAGTGGTCAAAGCAGATACTTTTATCAGTGAAGATAGATCACTACTTAGTTTTAAGAAAACTACAGGGGATGTTTCAGGTATAAAGTGTATAGATGATCTCAGGCCTATAGTTTCAGGGGTTCATCCAGCCTCCATGGCTCCAGAAAGTATAAAGTCAAGGAAAATGTGAAATCTTGTTCTACATGTTCCTCCTTTTGATAAGTATTGTCCCATAGAATCCTCGGTCAGAACATTCAGTGATGGTAACCAGATACCATCCACTTTGGTCTCATGGCAAAGGAGACACTTATTCATGAGGTTAATAAGCTGCATATTCCATATACTCCTATACCTGACTCTCCCTCTTCCTCTGTTTCTCTGCATGAATAGAGACCAGCTGATAATGCCTTGAATGGCTATTTAATAGGCTTTTAAACCCTAGGGTACCACACAACAAAGCAGGAGGTAGACCAGAAGAACTAAAGACATTATTATGCCAGTTAACTGGGATATCCCATGAATCCATGACCCTGAACTTTTAAATCAAGGAACCAAATCCCATGAAGTTTTTGATTGTACATAAACAGATTATTGTTGTAAATGTATCTATCACATGACTTTTTATAGGTGTCCAAGTTATTGGCAGCAACAATATTTGGCTGTGTAACTCTATGTAATTCTGTGTGATTTTTCCCCTCCTTCAATATACTAACAGCTTTTCTGTTGAGGTCAGAGGGTGGACAGGAAGCCTGGCAAGGTGATGATGAGTAGAACAAGTGCTCAGATCAGGCTGCCTAAATCCTGACCCTGTCAATGTACTTGTTATACCACTGGTTAAGCTACTTCTCTCTCTAGGTCTCAGTTTTCTCATCTACTAAAGGAGAACAGTATTGTTCATACATTAAGAGTGTTCACTGACATGTGCCATCACGTAACAAGATGCCATGTAAGCCACAGCTATTAGCATTTATTATAAAACTTTACCTACATTTCAGAGACATTAAAATTTGGGGGTGAGAGAAGAATAGTTTACACTCAAAGAAAGACATTCTCATCTCAAATTACTCCAGATAAAGGTTGAGTTATTTAGAATCCTCATTCTGTTTTAACCACTGGAGGCTGGTCTTTGCTGTAGGATTTCCCCAGAGACAGCGGGCCCCGTCATGCTGGCCTTCGGAATATAGGACATCTCCGGCTTCCCAGATCCAGTTTCATTCCCTTTGCTCTGGGGTTGTCAGAATTAAATGTGGGCCTCTTGTTTTGACAAATGATACCCTTTCCAGCCAGGGAGCACCCTGGGAGGGGTTTCCACATGTCTGTCTCATTCAGCAGCGCTTGGCACCACCAGTCTAGACTATGGAAACCCACACACATCTCTCTGTGGGCCCCGTTTCCAGTGGTCCCGAAGCCACCAGACACCACATGGTGACTCACCTTCTGCTAGGACCCTGCCACGTCATCCGGCACATACAGCTGCTGGTTTTTATCTATAAAGAAGAGAAGGCTTTGCCCTTTCATTTTGCTTATTTCCCCTTTCCCTTTGCTTTTAAAAAAACTGCTGCACGTCAAGGAGAACTCTGGTGGCAAAGTCCGGAGGGAGGTGAACTGCTAACCCAGACGCCTCTCTGCCGGTTCGAATCCACCAGCTGCCCCAAGGGAGACAAATGGGCAGTCACCTGTTGTGCATTTTTTCACAGCTTTGGACCCTAAAGGAAGGAAACTGTGCCTTAGTTCTGACTTGACAGCAGTGATTTGCATTCTGTTGATTGTCTATTACTGATGATCAGACCCCAGCCACATATTAAAAACACCTGGTTACAACAGTGAGTTTATTTTCACTTGAAAGTCATCCAGAGCAGTCAGGGAAGGAAGGCAGGGACTGGGGACGAGGACCTGATTGTGGAAATCACAACAGGATGACAGTCCGTTTTACTTGTTGTTGTGTCCCAGGTCAGCTGTGGGTAGGTTATGCGGTAACCTGAGGGCCAGAGCGGTGGAAAGTATACTCTTCTTTGTCTTAGCTAGATCCATGCCAGCTGTACCCCTTAGGCGGACAGCCTTGGTAAATGCCATAAACTCGTGGAACCAGCTATGTTAGTCTGTTGACCAGTAGGCATGCGACATACCAACCATACTGTCCCCTTGGATAGACTTGGAGCAACAGGAATAGCCAAGGGTAGAGAAACAACCACCACCACATTGAAATAGGAGAAACAAAACATCCTCACTCCATACAGCCTCCTATTTGGGGTGTAGTTAAAAGCTTGTGGCTGAGACCAAAGGGGGGATATGCCACAAAACAAAGCAACATCAGACCTGCTAGGTAAACAAACATCAAAGTGAATGCAAGGACATGCATTCTGCGTGCCTTTTTGATGTCTGTTCACTTCTTGTCTGAACCCCACTGTCCCGTTTCTGGGTTCTAGGAAATTTGCATTTCTTTAAACAACTTTGTAGGCATTTCTCTGTCTTTCACAAACTAAAAAAGTGATCTTCCCCAACCCCTTAAATGAAAGTATTCTTACAAGTTTTGAATGATCAGGAAGATGCTACTTTTGTTATTAATGAATTTATTGCTTGTGTTTTTTCTTCCTTTTAAGGAAAAGGAGATTGGAAGAAGAAAAATAAGTATTTCTGGCAGAACTTCCGAAAGAACCAGAAAGGAATAATGAGGCAGACTTCAAAAGGTACAGTAACACAGCCGGCAGACAGTGGGGCCTTTTAGTTGTTGAATGTTAAGAAGTCTGTGCCGCTGATCTAGATGGGTGCGGCAAGTTAGGACGACTCATTACATGTGCCTGTAAAATGTGCAACTGTTCCGAGATTCCTGTCATTACTTTAAGACTGTATCCCAAGGCTATCCCCCCACCCTGCCCAGTTAAAGAAAACAAAATAGAGTTAGCCGGCCTTCCTTTTCATAGATCTGACAGCACAGAGCTACAGTTCATCTTCTCAGGCACACCGGCCTCAGGAAGATCTTTACTCTTCACAGACCCAAAGTTCACCAAAAAGCGTAGAAAGGGGAAGCATTTTGTGCCTTTATCATTCTCTCCTAGTCCCACCACCACCCCCTGGGGGCCCCGGAATCTCCTGAACTTTTGATGCTCCTCTGGGGTCATTCACAGGGTTGTTGCCCTGGGAAACCATGGAAGGGTCCTGCCACCATTGGAGGTGGCCCAGGGGGCTTTGTGAAGTGCCCCTGCCCTTCCCTGGGCTTGGCTTTTGTTGTTATTTATGGAGTGAGTCAATAAACCATCCTTCGAGGCCCAGAACTATAATACATGTTTTGTCAGTGCTCAGGGAAGAAGGCGAAACAAAGCCACTTCCAGATTCTTGACCAGCCGAATGAGGCTTTAATTCAGAAATATCAGAGAAAAGCTGAAAGCTACCCACCAGTGGGGACTGTACCTTCCCAGAACCTTCCCTGAGCAGAAGGCTTTTCCAATGATTCATCCACAAGGAATGAGAAAAGGAGATTTGGACGACAGATACAGCACTTGTACACCTGGGGGCCTTGGAAGCACACGCTGTGGTTGGGTTTTTGGTTTTGTTTTTTTCTAGTAGTCCTGAATTTAGGGAGTTAGTCTTAAATAGTCCCCGTTTTCCTTTTTGGTCCATGCCTGGGATCATATGTGTTTTCAAATAAGCTCTGGGGCCTCCCAAAGCCTTATTTAGAAAACAAGGAAGAGGGAGGAGAGAGAAGAGCGAGCGAGAAAGAGGGAGGGAGAGAAGCACAGAAAGAAGGTGGCAAACCAAGCTTTTTGCTCACATGGATTATTTTCACACTCAGCCACCTCCCTTCTCTCTGCCCCCTTGAAGGTGGTGGCACGGAGAGTAAAGGACTAAGCCAGCAAGCTTCTCTTCTCATTCAGCACACACTGTTTTTCTTTTCTGGAAGGAAGATGAGTGGCTCAGGGGACTGATTGGTTACAAATGGTTTTGAGGAGAGGAGACACCAGGGGACATAAATTCTGAGGAAGTCCCTGACAGAAACGGACTCCTCCCCGTCTGCATGCTGCCTCATCACACTGTCCCCATGCACCAAGGGTAGATTAAGCCATAGCTGGGCGTCCTAATGACATCAGGAAGTGTTAACGTGTGCGTGAGAAAGACAGGGCTGAGGAGAAGGATGAGGGCCAGGAATACAGCCTTAATCCCAGTCTTGCATCTTACCACACGCTCTCCCTGACATACCCTTCTCCACACACTGATTCAAGACATAACTGGCCAACACGGATCAAGTTTATTGGAGGTGACAGCAATCTGTTTGCTTTGCAGGAAAGCACTTTAGAAGGAGCCTCACACGAGACTTCTTGTTTCCTCAGTCCTGCCTGCCTTCAGTTTTGAATTGGAAGTGCGCATCTCTTACACTTTGGAGGCATATTTATGACAAAAATGCTTTCAAATGTATACCTCTATTTTACCTTCCCTTCCGTGAACTCAGAATGCTTTACTTCCATGATTTTATTTATTTGAGCTCATCCTCTGAAAAACAACCTTATAACTTAAGGTTTCACAAGACCCCAGACTGTATTTTGTATTTGTTCGTTAGCTTTCCTTTCTTCTGCCATGACAGTGGATTCCTTCCTACTCCAATGCAAAAAAAAAAAAAAAAACCCTCCCCACCCCCCATGTGGAAAACAAATACAATAACATCGGACCCAAGGAGCCTTGGATGGCTGTTAAGTGTGAGCATTTACATTAGGTATGTGTCCCACCTTTAAGTCCCCTTTTTTCCAGAGTGCCTTTCTTACTTAGTTCCCCCGTGACAGAAGCTCTGGCCATCTGGAAGGATGTTTCTGTGACAGAATATGTATGTTCTTGAAGCCCATTTCCCAGATTACATGAGCTTATCGGCTTCCTATGGTCACTGAGTGGCACAAATGGTAAATGTTGGGCTACTTACCAACCGGTTTGTATCCCCCAGAGGTGTCTTTGGAGAAAATCAATGACTGTTTGCCTCTAAAAGCTCATAGTTGTGGAACGCTCTCATGGATTGCTGTTCTGCTGTGACACGTATAAAGTCACGATGAGTTGGAATCAACTCAGCTGCAGTCAGCACTGACTTCCCAACGTGCAGCATGGCGGGTACCCTCTGCCTCATTAGTACCATAGTGGGGTACAGAGCATCATTCTTCAGCCCTCCGTGATACCCTGTCATGACTGGCATTCTGCCTCGTCCTCCTCTAGTGTTTGTTTTCTTCTTCTTTCTCTTCCATGTGCAGAAGATGTTGGTTATGTCGCCAGTGAGATAACCATGAGTGACGAGGAACGGATTCAGCTCATGATGATGGTCAAGGAGAAGATGATCACCATTGAGGAAGCCCTGGCGAGGGTAAGCTTGCAAGCATCGGGTTGGCATCTGCTTGACCTCCTCACGTTAAACGTGTTTGTAGAATCAATCTAGACACCTGTGGTCAACTAGGAGTTCTGGTAGTATTGTAGTTAAGCACTGAGCTGCTATCTGAGAGGTTGGATATTTTCATTTACTAGCCACGCAGAAGGAGAAAGACATAGCATTTTGCTTCTATTATAAAGATTGATGTTGATTGTATAACAGTGCTTTTCAAGGAAAAGAGTTAATTGGGGGGGAGGGGGTGGGCAGGGAGAAAAAAAAGTTGCAAATAAAGATACCATTTGACCCAGCAATTCCACTACTGGGAATATACCCTAAAGAGACCATAAATGACATCCAAGTAGATATATGTATACCCATGTTTATCGCAGCTTTGTTTACAATAGCAAGGAGCTGGAAACAACCTAAATGCCCATCAACAAACGAATGGGTGGAGAAGCTGTGGTATATTCGCACAATGGAACACTATGCTGCATTGAAAAACAAGGAACTCATGCAATATTATTCAAAATGGGTGGACCTGAAGGACATTATGCTGAGTGAGGTATCTCAGTCACAAAGGGACAAATGCTATATGGTGCCACTGTTGTAGAATGAGGCTGGCATTGGGGTGGGGGTAAGACTGAGAAAAACTGGATGAAATATGTTTACGGCATTGAAGTCTATGGGGGAGAGAATAGTCTAAAAGTATTATATTTTAGGGCATTATTTTTATCGTAGGAGTATGCAATGAGGGTTGCAGAGTGGATTGTATTTGGGGGTGGGGGGGTTGGCGAGGTGCAGGGGGGATTGTGTACCAATGAGGGAGTTTTGCTTTTCAAGGAGAGGAGCAAATAGGGCGGAGGGGTTTGTGTGGGGAGAAGGGTGCAACAATGAATGGAATCCCAAAATCTCTGTAGATGTTCATTGAAATGAAAAATAAACAACCTAAATTAAAAAAAAAAAAGTAAATTACTTAAAATGTTAAAAAAGAAAAGATTGTTCTTGTTGTGTACGGTAGATTTGGAACCAACCCATGGCTGATCCTTGAGTGGGTTTTCAGAGACTGTAAATTGTATGGAAGGAGATTGTCCATCCTTCTGTGGAGCAGCAGGTGGCTTTGAACCATGTGCCTTCAGGATTACAGCGCACCTTCTTGCCATTAGGCCACAGAGAGCTGTGGAGACTTTATAGGAAGTTGAACCCTGTCCTGTCCCTATCATCAGGGAGCTCTGGTAGCCAACTTATAGGTGACCCTGGAGCATGTTTGCAGAGGCTGTAAATCACATGGGATGAAATTGCCCATCTTTCTCTTGAGGGGCAGCTGATGGATTCAATCCACTTGGCTTTGGGTTGGCAGCACAACCCCTTACCACTAAATCTTTCTAGCCCAGTGGTGACCATTATGTACCCAAATTATCAGGTGCCAATATTTATTCCATTTTACTTCCCATTTGTACAGTCTACCTTCTGAAATCAAATTTTCACGTTCAGTGAATACATAAATAAATCCACTAAATACAAGTGATTATTTGTGGACCACATTAATGAGATAAAAGCCACTTTGATGCCATTGCAAAATTGTCAAGCCTTGTGGAAATCTTAATAAACAACATGCTTAGAAGAAAGAAAACTTTCACACAACTACAGAACCACTGATGAGTTCTAACTTTACCGAGAAGTAGAGTCTTAACAACCGTACTCAGTTTAGTTTGGTATGTCTGAGTCTAAATCTCAGTAACACTGTCAGCAGCCCCTGATTCCACCTCACAGTGACCCTCTGACTTTCTGAGGTTGTGAATCTTTGTGAGAGAAGACAGCCCACCTTTTCCCTGCAGAGCAGCTGGTGGGTTCAGATCACTGACCTTTCGGTTAGCAGCCTGACACACACTGCCACCCAAGCTCCTCTAAACTTCCTCAGCTTATTGTTGCTGAGTCAGTGTTACACTGAAAAGGGGCAAAAAAAAAAAAAGAATATATTTGTCATGGACTTGATGGCTCTTTTGGCTTTGAGAACTTTCCTTAATGCCAGGTGTCTTACGTCAACTTCCCTAGAAACAGAGCCTGAACAGTGTTTGTGCAAATGAGGGATAGAAGGAGGGCTGTCCAGAGAGGCCTGTAGTTGGAGAGGCAGGAAAAGGGGCTGGACAGACATGAGCTTGCGGTCTGTCAGCTTCCACCTGATCCCACAGGGAGTGGGGCACTCTGGAGACTGGATTCCATCTCGGGGCTTGTCCTGTCTGAGCTGAGAAGGCTACACGCTGACAGGGGAAGGGGAGCATCCTCGTAAGCACCTCTTGTGAGCCACAAGCAGTTCTCCGGCACAGGCGGGAGTCCTGAGCCAGTACTGGCCATAGGAAGCATATGATAGGTGAGCAGGCGTGTGAAAGGACCCCAGGCGGCCGGTGCCCCAGGGTCCAGATTATGATCTGAGAACACTTCTGTCTTAGAGATTCATTTCTTTGTAGCAGAGCTGAGCTTCAATCACAGAGACCCGTGCACATAAAGTGGTCTGTGGAGAGCACCCCTCAGAAGCCAGCGAAATGATTGAGGACACTTTTAATAGGACTTGTAAGGAGACAATGGGAAGGCTTTATCTCAGAGAAGCAGCAGAAACGAGCTCCGTCACTGTCTTCAAGTATATGAAGGCTTGTCTAACAGGATGTACTGAAGACTGTTGTTTTAATCTGCAGAGCGCAGACTGAAAGGAACAAAATTAAAATTGTAGCTGGAGGGGGTTTGCATTAGGTGTGCAGTGAATGTTCCAGACATTATAGACTCTCTCTCCTGGCAGTCTTTAAGCTGTTATTGTTGTTATTGTGTACCATGGAGTCAGAACTGAGTCATAGCTGACCTTTCAGCAGACTTTCAGAGGCAATAAATTAATTGCTTTGGGAAAAGATTGTCCATCTTTCTTCCTGGCGGATTTGAACATCCAGAAAGGCATGACCTTTGGCTTAGCATCGAAACTCTTTACTGACTGTAATATTTTGAAATTAGGATAGATACTCTCCAATGGAAGTGGTTACTAAGTGTTAACTGTAGCTTGACTTTTGTCAGTCTGAGAGCTTTGCTGCATTCTCTTAGTTCTTTAAGCAGCCCTGTATGACAGCCTATTGTCATCCCTATTTTCCAGGCAGAGGCACAGGGGGTTAAACGTTACCCAAGGGCCCTGAGCTGGAATTTGGCTTCTGCATCTAAGTTCTTAGTTATTTGTCCATACTATTTGCCTCCTCTTGGTCATCTCCAGTCACATCAATGGTTAGAAAAAAGTTTCAGCGAGCTCTGGTGGCCTAGTGCCAAGAAAGTGCACTGCAGCACCAGAGGTGAGTGGTTCGAATCCACCAGATGCTCTGCTGGAGAAGGAGGGACAATCTACCCCTGTACCAGTCAAATCTGATTTGATGGTACACACACAAAGAGTAATAATAAAAATTTTTAAAAAAGAAAATAGTTTCATGGAGATAAATGATAAGATAAGTATCTTTTCCTGGAGGGACAATGATTTAATGATTTTGCCACAACTCATGTATCTCTGGTGACCCAATATTGTGCTGATCCCATCACATGAGCTGTCACTTTAGAGCTTTTCTGATTTTTTGGTGATGTTCATTTATGGAACATAAGTTGGTCAATGTTCTAACTAACTAACTAACTAACTAACTAACTAACTAACTGTGTGTGTGTGTGTGTGTGTGTGTGTAAAAGTGGCTTTTTAATGGAATCTTAATGCAGTGACATCCTACTGTTATCAAGGAGTTTTCAAGGAGTATAGCTATGGGGATGTGGTCGTCTATAGGGAATTGTACTGGTTTTGAAAGTTGATGCCTCTCAGGTAGTTTAAATCCACCAGCCACTCTATGGGAGAAACATGGACCGTCTCTTTCAGCACAATTTTCAGCCTCAAAAACCCACTGAAGGGTCAACTATGAATTGGTTCCAACTCAATGGCATTGAGTAGAGTAATTGAACTTTCACATGCTCTTTGGAAACATCCTTCACTAAGTTAAATTTGCTACCTCATAGAAAACTTAGAGCACTTTGACTTTGGCTCTTCTGTGGTTTTAAACACAATTGATGCTGAGAAGGGTGGAGAGTCAGTCAAGGAGAGGAAGATCCTTGACCAGGTGGATTAATGCGGTGACCGTGGCAGTGGACTCTTGTGTGTCAGGAAGTGTGAGGATGGCACAGGATAGAACAGGGTTCAGATTGTTTGTTTATGGGGTCGCTGTGAGTCGTACTTGACTCAACAACAACAACAGCAATGTTTTTTAAAAATAGATCCTTGGTTTCTAAATGCAAATATTAGTTGTCTTGAAAGATATTGGAGATGCCTTGTTATCTTCCTTCTTGTCCTCAAGGGTTCCCCAAACCCATCACATTTATTAAATGAGAGTATCAACCTGCTAATTTTAAACAGTCTTGAACAAGAAAAACACACACCCCCTAAAATAACTTCTCATTTAAAAGTTAAAATGAGCTCTCATTTAATTTTTATTAGAATTTCTGCAGATTGCCAGGTTATACCTTTATAAAATAGAGTTTGTAGCTTCATGGGTGGAGGGGAAGGGTAAGTCATGAGCCAAAGTGCCGACAGTCTCAGTGTACAAACTTAACCACTGAATGGAGAAAGATGACTTTTGATGCTGGAGGTCAGGTAACAACAGAAGGGAGGGAATAAAGGGCTTTGTAGAACACAGTGTGTGTTGATTTATTTTAGATTCAAACCTACAGGGTAGCTGACAGACCTTCCTCTCAGCTCTGCAGACTGTCCTTGGCTGACGCTGAGTCACGTGCACTGGCGGAGAGGAGGCGGCCAGAGCTACATGTTGGCTCTTGGTAGATAGCGCTTGACTAGCCTTTCCATTTCAAATACCCTCTCGTTGCAGCTCAAGGAGTACGAGGCCCACCACCGGCAGCCGGCCACCCCAGACTCCGCCGACTGGCCTGACGGTTCCTACCCCTCATTCGATGGCTCATCCAACTGCAATGTAAGTCAGGCTTCTCCTTAACTATTGTATTTCACTCCTCTGAAGTCTTTTCACTAAGGATTGTACTTATTTCATGTGGTGACATCTTATAAAGCCCCTTTTCTATGAGCCCATTTGTGCCTTTCTACTATGAATTAACCCTCAATGAAATAGATTGACACAGCGGCTGTGGCAATGGGTTCTGGTGTGTCTGAGATGAGGATGGTACAGGATAGGAAAGAGTTCAGCCCCAGGGCTGCTGTGAGTTGCAGTTCACGCAATGGGACCTAACAACAGCAACAAAACCCCACAGAGTTGGTCGACCCTACAACACATGAGTTGCCGGGGCTCAGAAACAACTTGATGGCAAATGGGTTTGGTTTGGGCCCATCATTCTTTCTATAATTATGTGTTTGTTGGGCCCTTTGGTGGAGGTCTTGGTGATGCAGTGGTTCAGCAAGGATCATTGGTTCTGCTAATGGAGAGGCCTATGATTTGGACCCATCAGCAGGAAAAGAGCTGGCCATCTGTTCCCACAAAGATGAGCATAGGACACCCTATGGGGCAATTTTACCCTTGTCGTATGGAGTCTCTGTGTCTCACAATCAGCTCAAAGACACTGAACAACAGCAACGGCCAAGGTTGTTGAGAACGGAATGCTTTCTTTGTTTGGGTCTTTAAGAAATAGGATTTTTTTTCTCTCTCTCATGGATTTGGAATCTCAATTTGAAATACCAATTTTAAGGGAAGGCTTTTTCTCTGGCAGCTCTGGGAGAAGAGCATTGTCTCTTTTTAGCTTCTGTTTCTTGTAGATATTGATGTGACTTGGCATTTGTCTTTCTCCAACTTTGTGTGCTTGCTTCTGGGCCTAATCTGCTCTGGTGGGGTTTTTTTTTTTGTTGTTGTTTTTTAAAAAAATTATTATTAAATTTTATTAGTTTTAATGAACATTTACAGAGATTTTGGGTTGTCTGCTCTGGTTTTTTTATATCTCTTATTCTGAGTGAGTGTTTATAGAACAAAAATCGATTTCCATTCCGTCATTCAGGCAGATTTTGGTTTATGGTGTTGATTTTTGGGGCCCATGCTGTAATAACATGCTTCTCATTGTGTGATTCTTATTCCCATTCATCTTGCTAGCATATCTCTTCTTACCCTCTGAGCTTTCTTCCTGGGCAAATATTGCCCTTTGGATCTTAAATGATTGATTGTTCTAAGGATTGGCTACTGGGACTATCCTGAAATTGAATAGTGAGACCTTCTACTTAGTTTTTAGTCTTCAGTAGAACTTGCTTATTGAGAGTCTTTATATGGAGTCAGTGGCTTCCATGCAAAGTCCTTTCCTTACGATGTTGGTGTGTGGTTTTCCTATCTCCTTAAATAATACTGGCAGGAGCACTGGTGGCTTAGTGGCAAGGAATCGCATTGTCAACATAAAGGAACTTGGTATGAATCTACCAGCTGCTTGGCAGGAGAAAGACGGATAGCTAAGTCTTATGTGATTTACTGCCTCTGAAAATTTGCTAGAGGGTTAACTATGGGTTGGTTCAAACTCAACGACACGGAACAACAATGACAAAATATACTGATAGGATCTGGTTTGGGATTCTGTTATTTATGTAGATCACTTTGGGCAATATTGGCAGTTTTATTGTGTTAAGTCTTCCTATCCATGAGCCTGATTTGTTCTTCCATTTCTGTCTCTTTTGGTTTCTTGTGGTAATATTTTATAGTTGTTGGGGTTTTTTTATGTCCTTTGTATCTCTGGATATGTGTATTCCTAAGTATGTACTCTTTTTGGTAGTTATTATAAATGGTTTCAGGAGAGAAATGGGAAGCTTCCTCCTGTGTGATTTATAGCCTCTGACAACCAGCTGGAGGGTCAGCTATGAATCAGTTCTGACTCAACAGCAATTAACTTTATTATGAATAGTTTTCCTTATTTCCCTAACAGAGATGGCATTGGTTAGAGGACTCCAACTGATTTTTGTAGGTTAATCTTATACCTTCCACTTTCCCAAATCTATCAGTTAGTTCCAGTGAGTTTTCTTTTTGAATCTTTGGTGGATATTCTATGTATAAGGTCTTATCAGTTGCAAACAGGTCAAGTTTTACTTCTTTACCAATCTGGCCACTTTTCTGTCCTTTTCTTGTCTTACTGCTTAACTAGGACTTCCCCTGCAGTGTTGAGTGCAAGTGGTGATAGGGGGCAGCCTTGTCTCTTTCTGTTCCTAGGGGAACGTATGCTTCCAGACGGTCCATTTTTAAGAAAGTTGGCTACTAGTTTTGTATATATTGAGCACGTTCCCCTCTATTTACTTTGTTGACAGTTATAAAAATGAATGTGGATTTTATGGAATGCCTTTTAGACACCAATAGGTATGATCATGTGGTGTTTTTTCCCCCTCTGTTTTATTCATATAATAGATCAATTGTTTTTCTAATGTCGCATCACTCTTGTAGACCTGGTGTGATTCCCACTTGGTTCTGATGTGTTATTTTCTTGGTATATTGTTGAATTCTATTGGATAGATTTTGACATTGATGATAATGAGGGATTTTGGTTTGTAATTTTATTTTTTAGTGTATCTTTGCCTGACTGTAGTATCAGAGTTATGCTTGATCAGTTATGCTTGCTTTATAAAATGAGTTTGGACATTTTCAGACAATTTCTGTGTTCAGAATTCGTTGAGCAGATTTACTGTCAGATCTTCTTTGTTTGGAAGAATTCTCCAGTAAAGTCATCCAGTTCAAAACATTCTGGAGGGAGTTTAATAATATGTCCAATTTTTTTTGTTGTTGTTTGTATGAACCTGTTTAGACTTTCCCCTCACTCTGTGTTAATTTAGGTAGGACATGTATTTCTAGAAATTTGTCCTTCTAAGTTTTCAAATATGTTTCAGCAGAATTCTTCATAGTATTCTGTTTTTCTTTCCATTTAGATTATATTGTGACTCATTATATTTTTTTCTCTTTTTTCAAATAAAATTTTTAAATGTAATTTTAACAAAAGTTTACAGAAAACTTGGATTTTCATTCATTCATTCATTCATTCATTCATTCATTGTTGCATAATTTACTCCTCTCCTTCCCTATCCCCTCCCCAGGTTGACTTTCTTTTACAAAAAATTCAAATACATAGTTTTCGAGAACAATTTCTTCCAATTTCCCTCACCTCCTCACCCATCAAATTGTACAACTTTATGATTAATTCCCCTCTACACATCCTCAGCCCTCTGCTTCCACCCTCTGCCACCCCCCTTGGATCATTATATTCAATCTACAGTAATGGTTTTATACAATATTTGTCCTTGTGGGACTGAGTTAGTTCACTCAGCATAATGCTTTCAAATCCCTCCCAAAGTAGGTACAAAATCATTGCTCCTGTATGCTGTGTAGTATTCCATTATGTGAATGTACCATAATTTCTCAATCAATTCAAATGTTGGACATTGGGCTGTTTCCATGTTCTTGCAATGGTGAATAATGCTATTTCTTGCACACACGTGCGTGTGTGTGTGAGCGTGTTATTTACATCTTCTCCCTTCCACTTTTTACTTCCTGCTATTGTTGAATTTATCAGTGTTTTGTTCATTTATTAATCTTTCAAAGAACTAGCTTCTGGGCTTAATTATTCTTTCTTGTTTTCTTGTTCTCTGCTTCAATTTCTGCTTGCTGGTCTTTTTCAGTTGTTAGAGTTATTGTATTAATGTCTTGGTTTTTGCTTCCTTTTTCTTTTTGATTTGTGTATCTATGACTATAAATTGGCCTCTGAGAACAGCTTTTGGTATGTCCCAAAGATTTTTGTTTCATTCTTCTTTGCTCCTTGAGACTTTTTTAAATGTCATTTTTTTTCTTTCATCTGTTACCAAGTAATTTTTAAACAAAGTAGTGCTGTTTATTTTATTATATTACTTTTCCTTTGGCCTTCCTATTATTGACTTATAATTTTATGGATTATGATCTGAAAAATGCTTTATATTATTTCAATGTGGGGTTTTCCCCCCCTTTTTCTTAGTTTTGAACTTATTGAGGCTTGTTTTGTGACATGACAACATACAATTTATTCTGGAAAATGAACCATGTGCACTGAAAGTGTGGGTGGGGGGATATATATATATTTTTTTTTTTTTGTTGGGAAGAGTGTTGTTTATGTATCTGAAGTCAGGTTGGTTGACTTGTTAAGTTTTTCTGTGTCTTTGTTGAGTTTCTTTGTGGCAATTATGTCATCATTGAAAGTAGTATGTTAAAGTTTCCTACAATTATTGTGAAGCTATGTCTCTTTTCAATTTTGTTAACTTTTGTTTGATATATTTCGAGACACCTTCATTGGAGGTATAGATATTTCATATGAGTATGTCCTTTTCTAGGTGGACCTTTTTATCATTATGTAATTTTATTTTTTCTTCTTTATACTAGTTTTTGCACTGAAGTTCATTCTTGTTCCTAGTCTTTTTTTTTAACTATTGTTAACTTGATATTATTTTTCTTTTAATTTTTGTTTTCATTTTTGTGTCAAAGATAAGTCTTCTATAGACAACAGATTCATTCAATTTTCTTATCAATTCTACAACTTTCTCTTGACTAGTGCATTTAATCCATTCAATGAGTGCATTTAATATTTTCAGTGTAAGTAATGATAGGTACAAATTTAGTGCTGTCATTATTTTGTGTGTTTTTGTCCTGGTGTTGATTATTTTTAATTCTTCATATTTTCTGAGATAATTTTGTGCTGGGTTTTACTTTCTTTATTGTTGTCTTTGTGCTTGCCAAGTCCATATGGCTTTCTTCTTTCTTATGTTTGTTGAAAGGTTTATCAACTTTCTTTGAGGTTTCCTTGTTTTAATTTTTACCTCCTTTCGTTTAAAGCAGTCTGTTGTGTCGCCATATTGCCCTTGCTTCCTCTCCACTTGGAAGTTCTGTGACATGATGATATAGTTTTCTCTTTGTGCTTTGTGATTGCTGTCATTTACAGATGGATGCCTCTGACTCTCACTTTTCATTCTTGAAGATTTATTTTA